GGGGGGGGGGGGTACTATTACTTGACACCGGGATAGTGTATACATGTACCTGAGCTAATGAAGGCCGCGAAGGCGATTGCAGCAACAACTAAGAACGACAGGAGTTCCTCCTTCATGATGCCGGGGAGGGCCAGGAGTTTGCCGATGGTCTGACTGAAGCGGACCACACGAAGTAAGGTGATGGTGTTGATGAAGACAACGATACCTGCAATACATACAGAAATCCCACTTCTGTACTGTTGACATTTTATAAAACTCTCTTCAACCTTAGGTTTTTTAAAACTTATTTTTTATGCCGCCACCAACGCAGAAAAACGCATGAACGAACAACAGACATACTTATTTTCGGTTCAGAAACGAAATATCCGTCGTTACGCCACACGACCCCATAATAGTAGTATGCTTGATCTTATTGTTTGTTAAACACATTTTTCTAATCCATGGCATTATATACTTTTATTTTTATCTGAACTTGTTTTCTAACTTTGCTATATTTAAACTTAAGTTGTTTTCTACCTTTGTTATATTTTCTATTTTATTGTGCTATGATTACTTATATATGGCTACAATGCATGTTTTAAAGAAGAGCTTTTAGTAATGAAATACCCAGGATGTGTTTGAAGCAGGCGTCCCACCACGCAGCAGCCGTCATGTCTACGTAGCTTACAAATCCCAGCTCTCCTGTAAAACGTTAAAAAAAGGCAACAAAATTAGGCTTCTGAGAAAAGTGCTTCCTTAATTTTCCAATTGTCGACCACTTTTTCCTCGTTACACCACCCTAGATTTCGACCAATGCCGCAATCAACCTACCATAAATTAAGAATTTTCAAAGATACAAATTACAGAAAACTAGTACTACACAAGATGCTATTAACCCTATCTAGACCGGGCTTTTTAGGGCTTGGTGGGACCGGGGGGGGGATCTTTCGGCCCCCCCCTCAGAACTCGCGAACGGTATATCGTAGGACCACCAAATTTTCAGAGGATGGTGTACTAGTAAAAATTTATCATATGTACAATTTTAATGTCGTTGTGACGTAATATGACGTCATTATGACGTTATTAGTGTGATTTTATTGGCCAAAACCGTCTAGATAGGTTATTCCCTGAAAACTAAACAGTATACGACATAACTTTACCAAAAGTGTTTATGACAGAATATTAGGATGTACTAAGTCTTATGTTGCCCATAGCAACACCGGTGACGTCATAAAATGACGTCATGCATATATTACCTATCCGCCATCTTGGATCATCAATCTTGAATTTTGAAA